CGTGATTCTTATTAACTTTCAAAGGTTTCATTCCTAAATTTTGGCTTAATATGTCTTATAAATACACTGCGTTTAGAATCAGGGAATTAGAATCAGCTAAAGGAACCAATGCCACTATTTTACAGAGTATTTAAAACTTGCTCAAGGTCACAAAACCATGGGAAATACAGACAAAATATGAAGCCAGATCTACTAAGCTAATCTCATTGCTTTGACGGTATAACATTTTAGATCCAAACACTCTTTAAATTAAAATGGTTTAGAGGCTGCTATAAAACCTAGTGTCATTTATCTTGTCCTGTTTTGTACAGCCAGAGATGCTATTCATCATAAATGAACAGGATATATACATAAATATATATAATTTGTTACTTTAAAATTCTATATACTTTAACTGAAGTTAAAGAGAAGTCTAAAAGAACCACAGGACTCATGCATATGGTGTGCAATATAATATATAGCATACATTTATTTTATATATCTATATTTATTTAATTTATTATAATAGTTCCATTTATATATTTAATTGCATATGATTTCTATTTATATACAATAAATTATATTCATTTATATTAACTAGGTATTTGTAGTGAATTGACTAATGGTCAACTTGTAACGCTGCACTGAACGGAATCAGTGTGGTCTGGGCATGGAGGATCCACCTGAGGATTGTTACCAATAGCCATAAATGAGAACTGGATGGAAAGATCTTGCCCTGTTGATTTTCTAGAAGCTTGCCGCTATTGGTTTTCCTGATGCAAACTAGGCTGTTCTCATTAGAGGAGGAGCTCGGGATCTCCCTGTTGCTGGGTATGGCTGCTGCTTTCATCAGGGGAGCTCTGAACTTTACTGGGAGCATCACTTCCTGGCTCCAATGTGGATCCCTCAGCTTGGTGGCTCAAATCCCTCATCTCACCAGCGTGGATTTTCTGGCTTCCACTGCTGGCCTTCGGGCCTTCCAGGTGCAGCTTCTCGATATGGACAAGTGTGAGACATTGCTATGGGCTCTAGGCCACTGGCTGGACTCGAGGAGGACATTGCCTTGGACTCTAAGGCTTCAGCGGGACTTATGTGGGAAACTGCTGGGATCTAGGCTCTCAGTTGAATGTGTTGGGCTTCTAATGTGCGGTTAACCTCTTGCACTCCTTTGCATTTGACTCCTTGGGTAATTATCATGGAATAACCTTATAAATTATTGCGTCCTGTATTTAATGGATTGCCTTGCCCAATCTTGATGACAACAGTATTCTATTATATATACATTATTTGTATATGCACAAAGGGTAATTGTAGTGAAAAAATGAGTAGAGATAAATCATATATGTTTAAATAGAAAGATTATTATTAAAGAAAATTTTACACTATTTATTTAAGTTTCTACTGATTACTTTAATCTATAAAATTGTAATTAAAATTTCAATGTAATAGATGTAGAAAGTACATAAATATTGAAAGGATGATTTACAAATTGATGCTATGTTTTCAAATATTAAAGTTTTTACAGATTTTCTTCTTTTTTTAAGGGGTTCTGTTATTGTTCCTATCAAAAAATAGTTCCTTGTCTTTTATAAAAATAAAATTTAATGAGGTTTTTAAACTTTTCTTCTAAATAGAATGACACAAACCTAAAGAATGTTAAAAGAAATTTAAAATTACTCTGAAAAAGGATGTACACATATAATGTCCTTTACTAGAGTAAAATATATAATACTTAGTAGTTATAAACCTTCCGCATACATACATACATACCTATTTTGTGTATATACAAGCAAAACATACATTTTATATATATATATATATATATGTGCTACATTATATTAGGATCCACCTGAGGATTGTTACCAATAGCCATAAATGAGAACTGGATGGAAAGATCTTGCCCTGTTGATTTTCTAGAAGCTTGCCGCGATTGGTTTTCCTGATGCAAACTAGGCTGTTCTCATTAGAGGAGGAGCTCGGGATCTCCCTGTTGCTGGGTATGGCTGCTGCTTTCATCAGGGGAGCTCTGAACTTTACTGGGAGCATCACTTCCTGGCTCCAATGTGGATCCCTCAGCTTGGTGGCTCAAATCCCTCATCTCACCAGCGTGGATTTTCTGGCTTCCACTGCTGGCCTTCGGGCCTTCCAGGTGCAGCTTCTCGATATGGACAAGTGTGAGACATTGCTATGGGCTCTAGGCCACTGGCTGGACTCGAGGAGGACATTGCCTTGGACTCTAAGGCTTCAGCGGGACTTATGTGGGAAACTGCTGGGATCTAGGCTCTCAGTTGAATGTGTTGGGCTTCTAATGTGCGGTTAACCTCTTGCACTCCTTTGCATTTGACTCCTTGGGTAATTATCATGGAATAACCTTATAAATTATTGCGTCCTGTATTTAATGGATTGCCTTGCCCAATCTTGATGACAACAGTATTCTATTATATATACATTATTTGTATATGCACAAAGGGTAATTGTAGTGAAAAAATGAGTAGAGATAAATCATATATGTTTAAATAGAAAGATTATTATTAAAGAAAATTTTACACTATTTATTTAAGTTTCTACTGATTACTTTAATCTATAAAATTGTAATTAAAATTTCAATGTAATAGATGTAGAAAGTACATAAATATTGAAAGGATGATTTACAAATTGATGCTATGTTTTCAAATATTAAAGTTTTTACAGATTTTCTTCTTTTTTTAAGGGGTTCTGTTATTGTTCCTATCAAAAAATAGTTCCTTGTCTTTTATAAAAATAAAATTTAATGAGGTTTTTAAACTTTTCTTCTAAATAGAATGACACAAACCTAAAGAATGTTAAAAGAAATTTAAAATTACTCTGAAAAAGGATGTACACATATAATGTCCTTTACTAGAGTAAAATATATAATACTTAGTAGTTATAAACCTTCCGCATACATACATACATACCTATTTTGTGTATATAAGAGCAAAACATACATTTTATATATATATATATATATATGTGCACTACATTATATGTATATGTGTGTGTGTGTGTGTGTGTGTGCACTAAATATTCCTAACAGAGTGATTTTTAAATCTAGGATAATTGTGTGTGTGTGTGTCACACACACACACACATTCTATACATTGTGTATTTGTGCCTAAGGGTAATTGAAATATATGGTGAATGTTTACATTTTTTAAATGTAAAGATACATTTCCATTAACCTTCTTCACAATACACCCCCTCGCTTTGTACACACTTAGTCTATTGTTCTTGCTTCTTTCTGAAGCAGTTCTGGTAGTCCTTCTCATGTGTGTCTTTTCATCCATGAAAGAATGAAATGAACACTACTAGTCTCATGCAAACATTATGGTGTGGCCTCATCCGTCTTATTCACTGGATCTGTAACCATGTGACATCTGGCTCGTCCCCAAAGTAAAAATGACCATGAAAAGCAAACATTTGGAATCAATTCAGGATACTGAGGAAGCCAATAGAGCTGAGGTAATGATGTTTACAAAAGAGAACTTGCAGAATTACTCCAGAAAGTGGAAAGAACAATGGGATAAGTGTGTTCACACAGGAAGGCAAGGATTTTAAGGAGGAGTAAAGGCAATTCATCTTTTACGACAATAAATTTTTAAAGCTCAAACATGCATTGTATTTTACATCATACTTCTGATAGTATATTACATACATAATAACAAAAGTATTCTAAGAAGTTATAATTATACAGGCTAAATTGCCTTTGTTAAGTCTGGTGAACTTTGTTTTTCCTAAAACACAATCTAAAAGAAAAATCTAAGAATCTAAAAAATGTTTAAAATCCGAACAGCAAGTCTTTTACTGATGAAAAGGTAAACAGCACACATTTTTTGCAGCTTCAAAATTATGGTTAAAATGTTGTTTTATAGGATGCGTATGTTAACTACCTTTAGCTGTTTGTTTGAGGCATTCCATTTGCTATTTTTATTTGTATGTTTCACCCACACTAAATTTGAGAAGGTATAAACTCAATAAAAAAAAAAAAAAAAAAATTTGAGAAGGAAAGTGCTTTTTTAAAAATTTTAATTTAATCATTATATTCTCAAATTGTGTGTTGGTGTTTCAAAATTTTTTGTTTTCTTTTCTAAGTACTTATGTTGTTAGCTAACAATGTCTAAATTTAAATGGTGTTTTTTGGTTTTGCTAGAAGGAATAAGGGGGAGAAATATGCACTGCCAGCTACATGTCATCTGCAGACATTTAATTTAATTTATTTATTTATTTTTTTTTTTTTTATTGAGTTTATTGGTACATTTAGGGATACAGTACAGTTACATTCAAATTCCTCTTTCCCCAGGAATCTTTGGCAGCGTGAGAAGGTCCTTTCTGAACTCAAAGCATCTCCCCTCCCTAGGCAATGGCAGTCTTATCAGCTACACTGAGAAAATTAACATAACTGACATTAATTATCTTAAGTCTTCATACTTTCTGTTGGAATGTAAAGGAATCTCCAAGAATGTAAACACCTCTGTTCTGTCATCTGAAAAATCGTTTTCCACTTTCCACTCCAATTCCTCTTTGTTTCATTCCAAAACACAAGTTATATGGTGAAACCTGATTTGTGGCTATCTGGGGGGAAAAAGCAGCCTCATTTAGCATTTTCAGAGACCACTGAAAGAAAGAATGTTTCAGGAGATCTAAACTTAGGGTTAATTTTGATCTTGATATACCTTTTATGACACCAAGAGCATTGCAGGCAAGGCACTGAAAGACATTTTATAAAAGAGGAATGTGGTGAATATCGTACTGGATTGGAAATAATGTATGCGAGGCATAACATCACCGTGGGATAATTTTGTTTCAATTTCTCTTCTTTTTTAAAAATTTTGCCCAGATCACTCAATTTCTGGGCTTCAGAATCATGACTAAATGCATGGTTCACAATTGGATGTGCTTATATTCTGTTTCTCTTTATCATTCCTTTAATGTGCTTTATAAAATAGAACAGAACTTACAATCATGGAATATTCTGAAAAAGAATAGCATTCTTACATTTTTTTGTTGTTAGAAACTGAAGTTGGATTCTCTCAGAAGTGAAATCAAGCTTCACTTCTCAGGTCCATCTAACACAGCGAAATGAAGAAAGGGAATAAGAAACTTAAAAATTCCCTGGGAATTTTTTCCTGGGAGATGAATTCTAGATGGATTCTACATTATGAGGTAAAGTAGAATTTAAATGAATGGGATAATCACAAACACTCAAAGATAAGTTAACGTAAAAGTTCTTTCAACCCCATTCTCACAATTCTTGGTTGGCTCAGTGTTGGTAACACTGGAATTAAACTTGGAAACAATGTTTTAGTTAATCCCACTAAAGTGAATAAACATATGTGTGTGCAAAGAAAATCTTGACTTTCTTCCTCAGAGACCATGTTAGTCTGATTTTTTTATTAATTACTCAGTATTAACTACAAAAATCAAACCCATCATGAAAATGCATATCTAGTTACTAAATTGTTCTTATAAATTAAATTAATGAAAAAAGAAGCATAACAAAACAAAAAAACATGACTCAAATTTGAAATAGAGAATTATATATACAGTGTTTAAATAAATTCTGGGATGAAAATAAGGCATTACAAGAAATATTTGAGAAGAAATAATTTAAGAGCAGAATATTGATTTAATTATCTTGAGTAGATTATTTTTCTAATGATAATCACAGCAATATATTCAAGAGGATTTCCCTACGTAAAAGTGTTAAATCTTTCAGATTCTATTTCACTATGGCATGGCAAGACAGTGTTTTCTTAATCATTCAAGGTCATAAGAAAGCAAAATTGTTCAATTTAAAGTCAAAGTAAAATAATATTTTATATCAACAAATAAGTCATACTTACCAAATGGACAATGGCAATAGTATGAATCCACGCCATTTTGGCAGGAACCACCATTAAAGCAAGGATTGCATTCACAGTAATTGACCGAAGATTCACACATTTTCCCTAAAACATGTAAAGCTTGTTAAAAAAGTCTCACACATAAATATAATGAAATCATCACTCTGTAATTATATGTAAATCTCTACCATGAGAGATAATAATTTAAAGAAAAGAAATATAAAAATATATCCATTGACATTGGAATATATTGCAAGGATAGTTCAGAATTCAATATCATAATTGTATTATTGTAAAGTGGTTCAGTATAATATTTAGGAAATAATTTCTGTAATCATCTTGAGGGAAAATACCATATTCAGGGAAATATTGAAGTGAACATAAAATGCTTTCACTAAATTTATTTTTCTATGTGGATGCCCTTTTATCTTTTCCTGTTCATAGATGGAGGACTGAAACTTTCAAAGTATTCTTTTCACTCTACACAGATTGCTCAAAGGTAAGAATTAATCTTATTTAGCTTGTCAAACGACAAATTTTCCATTCTTAAGAAATGTCCCTTAACTTATACATACCTTTTGTAATGCATAATAAGAAATAAGAAAACATCAAATATTTTCAAATATTATTAATATGCAATCTTGAGTACAGGTTATATAACTTTGTCATTTTTTTTTCTATAATGACAATACCTAAGCAGCAGATTTTTCATTATATAAAGATTTTTCTCATACATTATCACATTAAATCAAATCAACCAATATTGGCTGACTTAATGGTGGGCCAGCCATGATGTGGATAGAGTGCGGCACTAAGGAAAGCAGGGAAATATCTCAATGTTTTCCATTGAAATGGAGGGAATTAATCCACACAAAAGAAGCACCTTTCACAAATGAAAATGAAAAGCCTCTTGCAATCTAATATCATGCCTGAGAAACTTTGACACAGACTAACTTAGGTCTTTTACTCCCACTGTTAGGTTTCACAAAACTATGACTGAATAATTGATCACATGGTAGAGAAAACAATGTAGAGTAGAAATCTTACTGTTTTCGTGGTTTATTTTTACACAATCTTAAATATGTTCTAATATTACTGTTTATCATTCTACATCTAGTTTTCCAATCCTCAAAACCAGTGAGATGTTATAGTTTATAGTTAATTTATATTACCTGGCTGGAAGATTTTATGGCAGTTTCTGTAGTTATTTTTCACTTTCAGTATTACACTAATGTATATTTTATATATGGAAGCACATATATTTTGTATGCACAGCTACATTTAATTTTAATCATGATGTATTTTGTCATAGTAACTGCTTACACATAGTCAAAGTTTCTGTTTAAGTTAGTTTTGTTTTTGTGGCTTGACTGTGTAGCCACAATTGTATTGGTCTGAAATTATAAGTGTGAGTAAGTCCTTGTGACACTGCTAACTAAGCCTATTTCTGTACATCACAGAATCATAAACACAAGGTTTTTCCTTATAAATAAAATTGGTAACCTCCTTACAAGGCAAAATCTGAGTAAAATATTTCAGAATACTTTTCTATTCTAAGGAGAGAGCATAAAAGTAAACAAATTACTAATTTAGAGCCACAGCAATTAAGTTTTAGTATTGCAGCAATGTGCTACATTTCAGGAATAGGCTAGACAACTTTACTATAAACCTGGGCTTCATTTCACACCAGAGAGATGTGTTTCATAGAATTCCTTCCTATTTTGTTTTCCAACTGGATGTGTGACAGACCAAGTTAGAAATGTAGATTTTGTTTCTTTGAAGAAAATCAATATTGTCCAATAATAAATAAGACCTACTGGTAAAAGTTTTTATTACATATTTAGCATCAGGAAAATCATATCCCATTGCTTCAATTTTTTTCAGTGTATGAGAATACACTTAGCACATATACTACTGAGTTTTACTTTCTGTTTTCCTTTATTTTTCTGAAAATTTCTTTTGAAGTGATGTTAAAAGTAGTATTTATTAAATACGTAAATTTATATAACATTTATATGGTGACAGGATGTTACAAAATTATTAGCCTTATTTCTCAAGGGCTAGATTTTGGGAACCAAGAATTACAAATTTTAGGAATGTACTGTCATATATACTTAGTCAAATACACTCAGTCTGTTCTCTCTAACAAAAAATATGATGAATATAAAAATTCACTGATTTTATAAAGCTCCTCAAAAATCTGGCTTGGAAAAACTCTTTTTTAAATTTCTGTATAAACAGTAATAAGATAAATATAGAGGTTTCTATATATAATTTACATAAATAGGTTATCTCATTTACCCATTACAAAATTACATTTTTTACATAGGCATTTGAGCTTAATTTAAATATAAAATATATGCTATTGTAGTTAGTTCAAAGAGAAGGCTGGAAAATATCCTAATATAAATAAGACTATTTCCTGCATCTAAAAACAGTGGTTTTAGACATAGAAGAAATTAAAACTAATAAAATATTAGTTTTGAGAATAGCATTGTTTAAAAAGTTAAATTTTTAGTATAATATGATTTTTCAAATATACAATAATAGAAATAAAGCTTGGTCAGAGAAAACAATTTAACCTTTTATTTAACATTTTGATTGAAACAAATTTTCATATTTTTCTTAGATAATCAAAATACATAAAACAGTTTGTAGAAATAAATAAATAAATGATAATATACTGAAAGTTGAAAATAGTCTTATTTGTTGTTATAGTATGTAAATTATTCATCATTCATAGATGCAGTGTTTCTCCAATTCATGAGTAAAAATTATTTTACAATTTCAAAGATATTGCCATGCTCATTAGATCGAAAGACATGCTGTGAAAACCTAATGTTTTCATTTAAATTATTATTGAAAAGATTTTTTTCTTCCTTTGTCTAAAAGAACAATTCATATTTTTACTTAGAATTAAAAGAGAGGCTTTGAAAATGTATTTCTAGGGTTTGGAATGGAACGTACATGCCCTATTAGCCAATTAGAAACGAGCAAATTCTGTACTGTCCTGTACAGCTCTGTCTCCTACAACGGTGGCGTTATTGGCATAATGACAATAAAAGGATGCACCAGTCTGAATGACTCCAACATGCTCATGGTAGAAGAATCAATGTGTTGGAGCTCTGTGAAGTAAAGTCTTGGACCATTAACTTAATTAATGCTGCAAGTCAATTAACAATACTTGCCAGTGCCCAGAGGCTTTGAAGTGCGCTGACAGGACTTACACAGAGAAATGCATCCAGGCCTTATGAACACAAAGAGCTTTGTTTCTCTTAAAATCTGTTTACTCTCACAGCAGCTGTTTAGAAGAATAAATTGATCTCATTGCTTTGACATCCATCAATTAACTGTGCTGTCATGCACTATTTTTCGTACATAGAAGGAAATGTGCTTTAGGATTTTAAATTCTTAGCACATCAGGAATGACAACTGCTGAAAATGAAAATAAGTGCGTGATATTGAGGCTAGTGTATCTACAGAAGGTCGAGATATAGATTAAATTTATGGAAGAAATTGCCCTAATCTTTATGTTCTGGGGCAAAAGAGGCGATGATGTGTTGAACATAAACTGAATGTACTGCGGATATCTATGGTATTTCCAACAAGCATGCATATTCCAGTTTCACTTGTCCAAAGGCACATTTTTATGTTAGATTTTAAAGAACAGAACTAAATTCCCACTACTAAATTTGAATACCTCATAAAGATATGATTTTTTCATATCCTGTAGTTCATATTGCCTCCTACTTACTAGCTTAGATCATACATACACTAGACGACCATATGTGCTATGTTTGCTTCTCTTGTGTTTTATACACTGGGGAAAAGGGAGAACATGGATAACTACCAAAGTCCATTTTATAAGTAGTATAATTATTAACAAATATTATTCTTTGATAAATATATGCTATTCATTTGAATCTTTATGCTTATTAGATTTTAAAAATTATTTTTGGCAAAAAGCATCTATTTCAGGTAGGTGTGGTAGCACACACCTGTAATCCTACCACTGTGTGAGAGTAAGCAGTAGCTGTTTATTGCACACTCTGCAAATGTTTCCCATTATTGTAAGAGGCCCTATCAAGATAGCTCATCCAAGTATGCTGTTTCGTAGCATTATGGTTTTTTATAACAAATAAGAGCCAGTAAGAAAACCAAAATAAGTCCTCATTTTTTACCTTTGTACTATAAAGCATTCACAAATACAAGACCATATGTGACACTCCATAATATTCATGATAAGCCTATTTACAAATACATGTCCATTTTCTGCAGAAGACACACTCAAGCTACTAGAAATCCAAGATACTGATGCCTTTATAAAGTAATATACCACTTAAAATAAACTGCACAATCTCACTCTTGGAAATAAAAACATCCAAACAAAAATTAAGCCTTTTATCTTCTCTAACATGAGCCACTGTTCTACGTATCAATCAGAAATGTAGTTCATATTTATTCACCTAATATCCTTCATATGCTTTGATTTTTTTCTTGTCCCATTATCAAAATACTCATATATGACTGTAGTGATTTTTCAAACGCTGACTTTTAGTTACTCCTTCCATCTTTATGAAGGAAAATATTTGCCAAGTTTTTCAGGAAGAGTACCTACAAAGCTTGTATATGAACTTTTATAGATGGAAAAAATCACTACTTGTACTGTCAAATGACATAAAAGTGAAGAATAGATGAATCTCATCCTGCCCCGAAATAGAGGTACTTACTGGAGAACACAGAAAATGTCATATGGTAATAAATCCCTGGCATTATTCCAAATAGCACATCTCAAATGCATCCAGATGTGTGAAAGTGAATGGAAAGGTTAAATGGGCTAGGAGCTAATTATATTATAATAGATCCAGATTTAGAAATAAACTCTACCTACATGCTGAATTTTATAACACCATCCTTTCCTATTAAGTCCTCAACACCAGGGATGCGCCGTAGAGTGGTAAATTGCATGCTGGAAGACACAGGCTGAGGATATTATAGACTATAACTGTGTTTTCCTGTCAGTGTTCTACTAAATGCATGCATAGGAAGAGAAGTACTGATTTATGCTTTCAGGATGATGTTTTGTTTTAGAATCTCCTGGAATTCTGAAGTGTGAATAATATGAAATATATTTTAATTTTTATTTATGTATTTATATTATTCATTTAATGTAACAAAAGTAGATATTAATAAAAACATTTATAGGAAAAATAAAATTTCTTGACAAATAATTAAAGAGTAACAGTGGTAAATACACTGTGTCATAATCTCAAAAAAATATATTCTCACTTGCTAATCTATCTCTCAGCTCCTCTCCTAAGAAAACTATCTTTTTCTAAACAACTGAAAACTGAAGTAATTAGTGATATTCATTACGTTTTGTGAAAATCTAGAAATTAATTTTTCATGCATTTAATACTAAAACAAATGCATTAAAATCTTTTCTAATGTCATATATTATAGTTAATTAAGGATCCCTTTAGTGATATGAGTTAAATTACAAGAAATTTTTCTTGATGTTGAAGCATAAACAAATTATAATAGAACATATTACAATGTAAATGTTTTTTAACTTTTCCTTTGCATTTTTTTCTGGTAACTAAGAAAAGATCAGAAACATGTTATAAAAACAAATTCAATTTATCTAAATCATTCCTTAATTTTAAAAATACAGTTTGTTATCGCATATTTATTATGTGTACTGTCCTACAGTCATACTGGAAAATAAAGTTTAAAAAATAAATACTTAAACTCTAAATTTGTGACATGATTATACCTTCATATCTTTTATGTTACATAATTTTTATTTTCATATGCATCCACCGCCTTACAAGATGTCCTCTATGTAAAAATCCTTGTTCCACTAATAATCAGTTGGTAGCATGAAGTTTCTCAGTTTACATCAGTTCATAAGTCTCTCACTCTATTAATATTTAGCATTATTTCTCCTATCACATAAAATATACACTGGTGTGTCTGTGTGTCTGTGTGTATGTGTAAGACTTGGGAAGGAGAGTATAGAAGTCTCAATTTGAAATTCCATAAACTAACCCTATTGATAAAAAGCAAGAGAAAGTCTAAAAAGCTCAAGGGGCCAAAAGAGAAGTGAATATATACAGGCCTTAGCATGGCATCACTAAGGCACTAGAATTTGATTAATGTTAATGGAAGGAATAGCCATCCGTTATCCAATCTCCTTCTTTTTTTTCTCTCCCCACCCTTAGCCTCTAGTAGTCACTCATATGCTTCCAGATGGACTTTTTTGAGCCTCTACATAAGAAAGGGAACATGTGGTATTTGTCTTCTGTGTCTGGTTTATTTCACTTAATATAATGTCCTGCAATAGCCCATAAATATGTAAAATTATTACATGTTAATGAAAAATAAAAAGAGTACAATCTATGTAGTATAAGTATTTTAGAAAATTTGCTCTGTGAAGCACGCATATACATAAGCACAGATTTTGTCTGAGGACCTATCATGTCAGACTCACTCTAGAAATTGTTTTAGTATATTAGCTCCATCTTCCCAGGACAGCTAGCTGATAGAGACGAGCTGCAAATAGTAAGTCAAGGAGATTCTTTGGGGATTACCTTTAGAAAGACCATTAGACAAATACATACATTTAAGTGAAACATATTCCTGCGACTATGGATTAATGTTTGTCATGGTACTTTCCATCACATTGTTTCTTACAAAATAAAAGAAAGAAAAGTACCAGATTTTATCAGCTCTGTTTACTACATACATTGTGCATATAGAATTTAAAACAATACATTACAGGATTTCAAAAAAATGTAAGATTCGTGATAATCATTCTCCTTTATGTTTGTTTATGACTTTTGTGATCATTTGGAGACTGAAGTAACATCTGGGGTGTATTCTTAGCATTATTACACAACTTTAAACAAACTTCTTTACACAAAAAGATCACCAGGTAGTCTTTGGTATCTCTGGCTCTAGGGTTAGGGCCACCAAAACATAGGCTCAATTTCCTATAGTGTAAAATTGACATCTTTAATAATATTTCTCCATGGCAGATCTGATATACTGACAGCATCCTTCCTGTCTTTCTGTATTGCAGGGCTAACTATCTGAAAACTACTTTTCCTGGATTCCTTATCAGCAGAGCGCAAGTTTATAGATTCTGCCAGCGACAGAGACCTGACAAAAATGTCCACTTCAGCAAGGTGGTCTGCAGTGGCTATGTCGGTCCCTGCATGTTCTTCCTCCTGACAGCCTCGCATCTCAGCCAGGGTGAAGGTTCTGTAAGCTATTTCTTTTTATTTCAAACAGCTCCCTTCCTGACAGTCTTAGTCTAGTTTCAAGTCCTAACCAGACTTTGACAGGAACACTCTCTTCTGAGTTTACTGTCAGGAAAAATTAGGAAATGAGAAAAAAGCTCTTAACAGATATGAAGAACTCGCCAAAACGCTCTAGGCCAAGTATAAATCAGAGCGCGATGAAGTACAATACTCACACGGAGGCTGGAGGCTCTGGACTCAAACACAGAGTCAAACCCAAGGAGGACACTTTGTGTCCCCCCCGCTGCAGGTGAGTTGTTTAATTTCCTGTACTCCTTCTAACATACAGTTTTCATTGTTTGTGAAATGTGAATGATAATCATATCTAGCTCACAAAGTCATAGGAATTAAAAGTAATAAAATCTACAGAACAAGGAGATTTACGACATGCCATTCAAAAGGTGTTAATATTTTATGTTGAAAATCATGGCACTCCTAAAAGTCTCACCTGTTACATTTTAAACACTATATGTGTACATTTAAATAAGAGAAGACAAAGAAACAAACTAGAGAGATGTAACATGACCATTCATGAAGTAAGCAGCACTTATGTTGAAATAAGCCTATGTTGCCTTCACTTACAATATTGGTACTTTTTCTGTACCTCATCAATATAAAATATGTTTAAGCTTTCTTCATTCTAGTAGTAACTAGAAATCCACCCTAAATCTGAGTGTCAATAAGTGCCTATATTAAAATCAGACTAAGAAATAATAATTTGTTTTTGAATTTCCAACCAAGGAGGTAATTTTTAGGGTGAGTGGGAATGAAGAAAGTTTTCTAGGAATCCTGAACTCATAGTACTGATAAAGAATTATTATCATGATCCTAAAGATATAACTCTACTAGGACTCATAGTATCTTAGGCTACTCAGCCTTTGTGTCTTTTTAGATACATCTGTGGCGTGTCTTTATTGCCACCAAGGTAATAGTATTACTAGTTAACATTGCCACTTATTGGAAGCTAGACAATGCTTTGGTTATTTTCAACCATATTTATTTATTTAGCAGTCCTCAAACATAAGCAATTATGATGATTCTAATTATGTATTCTGTTACAGATGGGGAAACTGAGGGTCAACAAGGTTCGGTGACTTCCCAAAAGCTATAGCTAAATCAAATTCTATCAGATCGCTGTTCTTGACATTACACATGCTTGCTGTCCCTTTTCTCCATTTATATATCTAGGACACTACTTTTCCAAAAGGAAAGTATACGCTCTGCTTCAGCTTTTCCAAACATGCTTTACATTACCAATTTTCCAAATGTAAAACAATACCCATGATGAGCACCTTTAAAGTATGCTATCAAAATGCATTTTTCTTTAAAAAAAATCTCATAAAATTTTATTCTATGGAACACCTACAAATACAATTTAAAAACTTGTCTTGATTTTGGCTCTTTTATGGAAATTTAAGTTTAACATTTCACACCAATACAATATAATATACATGTTCTAAAAATATGTAGTGCAATATATAGGAGAAAATTTAATTCTCCTTAGATTTGTAAACAGAATAATTATTATTCAATTTTAAAGGAACACCAAACATTGATCAGCTAGTAAATAGATGGAAGATCGCTAAATATAAATGAAAGAGAAACAGAGAAAGATATTTATATAATGAACATCACATCTTATTATGATGCCAAAGACTAGCTGAACAAATTTACTGCTCAATGATTGATATTTCTTCTGAAATGTCAGAGTTAACTGTGATTCCTTTTTTTTGTCTTGGTTACCTGAGAGGCTATTAAGTTTTCTACCCAACTAGAAAAAATAATAAGCCATTTTAATCTTAATCTTAAAGCATGACTCTTCTGTAGCCTCTTCACAGTATGCAACACATGCACGATTATGACTGGAAAGATCAGACAATGATCTTTCATACAAAGAACACCAATTAATTGCTAACAGTTATTTAGGACATAAAATGCTTCAGGTCTTAGGCTTTATTTGTTATGATTATGTTCACTGATGAAAAGACATTAAAAATGACACAATTGTTTACTTTCTACCATACATGAGATGGCGAAGGTTTTAGTAAAACACTGTCATACCTGTGTATCCAGTTTTGCAAACACAGTTGAAGCCTCCTGGAAAATTCTGGCAGACAGCCCCATTCTTGCAAGGACTGGGCAGGCACTCATTGATGTCTCTCTCACAGGCCCTCCCTGTGAAGCCTTCTGGGCAACTGCACGAAAACCCTCCCACTAAATTGTGACAGGTCCCACCATTGTGGCAAGGGGTCGGAAGGCATTCATCTATATCTATTTCACACCAGCTGCCAGCATATCCCGGCAGACACTTGCATAAGAAAGGCTGCAGAGGTTCATTTGCTACAATGATGACAGGAAGACTCTCATGGCTTTTCAGCGTGGAGCCCACAGCCAGTCTTCTAATACAGCTCCCTCCGTTCTGGCAGGGACTGTGAACACAGGAGTCATGGTCCACAGATTCTACCTTTACTCCACTCTGTCGGGAAAGGATCTCTTTGATACTTTCAAAGAAGGTCGCTACCCCACTGGGATTCACATATTGATTATTATTTCGCTTCACAGCTGCCAAAAGAAATGTTTTGTTATTCTCTTCATAGGCACCATAGAGTTGCACAGCAGTCCCCAAGCCTGTTAGCTGAGAACTGGCAATGCGTAAGAAATGAAGGTAGTGATTAGTCAAGAAGTCCTTTACTGTTGATACACTGACCCGAAGCAAGATACTGTTATCCACTGTAGCATTAGAAAATCCAGCAAAGAAAACTCGGATATTGCTTGTGACTGTGCTGTGAACTCCATCGTTGCTAAGGACAGTCAGATCAAACGTGCCATCTGTGGACCGTGGCTGGGAATTCAGATCACAGGTGCCTCCTGGAATACTGAAGAGGCTTGTCACTCCAGATGTAAGGGAACAGTGGAAGCTGTCTAACACATCTGGATCCTGTGGCTTCACAGAGCCTAAAATTCCACCGGGGAACAAGTTGCCGTAATAATTAACAAATATCTCCACTGTCCGAGACTGAGAAGGATTGTCATTTTGGTCTATAACTGTGATGTGCACTGTTCCTGTGGAAGACATCTGAGGAACACCAGAATCCCTAGTAACCACAGACAGGTAGAAGTCTGCAATCTGCTCTCTGTCAATCTCTCTGGTTGTGCTCAGAACTCCAGCAGTGTTGAGACTAAAATAATTGGTGGCAGGACCTGTGCTTAGCAGGTAATAGGTAAAGGGACCTTGATTAGGAGGGAGATCAGGATCAGTGGACTGAAGGGTCATTATCAGAGTCCCTGGCCGTTTGTTTTCCATAACTTCTCCTTCACTGACAGTCAGCATGGGCCCATTATCATTTATATCTTCCAGGGTGACTAATAAGGAGGCACTTCCTGTTGCAGAAGGGATTCCTGAATCAACAGCCAAAACAGTGAGATTATAGATGGGTAGGGTTTCTCGATCTAATTCTGCAGTAACAGTGATTTGTCCTGTCTGTGGATTAACAGAAAAGGCACCATTTTCATTCCCTGATCCAATGAAATAAGAAAACCTGCTCCAGCTGGGGATGGAGTCTGAGTCGAAGGCACTGACAAAGGTCACATGAGTTCCTATTGGTACCCCTTCACTGATCTGAACGCTGTAGACGTTTAGACTAAATACAGGTGGGTCATTGGCATCAAGCACGGTGACATTTACAGTGACCTCATCTATATCAGCACCCCTGATGCTGCCAAAATTCTTGGCCAATACTTTCAAAGATACCCTTTCTTCTTTTTCTCTATCAAGAAATCCAGAAACAAAAATTTGTCCAGACTTCTTATTGATCTGGAAACCTTTCTTTCGACTATTACCAAAAATTAAATATTGTACCTCCCCATCAGTGCCCATATCACGGTCACTGGCAAACACTTCTCCAACTATGGTGCCTTTAGGAGCTGCTTCTGAGATTTCAAAGTAGTACAGTTTGGAAACAAAACGAGGCACATACTCATTTGTCCCTTTCAATTGTATATTAACAGTGGCAAAGCTACACCTTTCTTCATCGGGCACATTGAAGGCTTTCACAGTAAGATGGTAGCTCTGCTTCATTTCAAAGTCTAAGAAGCCCTGGGTAGTAATGACTCCTGTGTTGGGGTCAATGACAAAAAGGTCACTGTCTGAGGACTGAACAGTATATGCGATCACAGCATTGGTTCCAGAGTCAGCATCTGTTGCATTTAGGTGGATAACTGTTGTCCCACTTGGGGCATTTTCCAAAACAGCAGGGAAATATTTATCAGGAACAAATATTGGAGAATTGTCATTCACATCAATCACAGTTACAGTCACACTGCAGTAACCAGTTCTTGCAACCCATCCTCCATCTGTTGCACTAATAGTTATTTCATGCTTCTGGCATAGCTCATAATCAAGAGCTTTGGCTAGTGTTAATACACCTGTGGTGGAATTGATTGCAAAAATGCCTTCTTCATTTCCTGCAGAAATGCTGTATCTAATCAAGCCATTCATAGCTGCATCTCTATCTCTGGCAGAAACAGTTCTGACTATGGCCCCGATACTGTGGCTTTCAGGGATGGTTGTACTCATGTGGGTTTGAGAAAATTCAGGTGTGTGGTAGTTTTCTTCAGTGACAGTTATTTGAACAGTTGCTTGAGAAGAGAGTGGAGGATTTCCTTTGTCCTTAGCTGTGACTGTGAGCAGAAAGTTTTGATTCAAGTCAGAAATCAGGGAAGATGCTACAGAAATCCATCCAGTATCACTGTCCAACTTAAATTTCCCTAAATAATTTTCATTAGAAATAAAATATTCCAGCTCAGAATTCAATCCAAAGTCTTTATCATCTAATGCAGTCACTTTGATTAACTTTGTACCAACTTTAACATTTTTGGTGACTGGGGTAAAATATTTATCTCTAAGAAACTGAGGTGCATTGTCATTACTGTCGACTATGTTGATAGTAACAGTTGTCTCACTAAGTAAAGAAGGATTACCTCGATCTGAAGATGTCACTATGAAACTATGCCTGTTAATGTTCACATTGCTGAAGCCACTGACATTCTGGTATTTTAAGACCTGCTTATTGAAAATCTCTCCAGTTGTGGCATTGATCCTGAAATACTCTGACTGAGATTTAATAAAATAAAATACGTGTCCATTTGACCCCTCATCAGGATCTGTTGCATATACCTGAGTCACTTTGGAGCCAATCTCAGTAAGCTCAGGGCAGTCTAAATAATAGGAAGGTCTGCTAAATCTTGGGGCATTGTCATTGATATCTGTCACAAATATTGTGACATCTGTACTTACAGTCCATCCAGAATCATGTGCAGAAACTCGTATTCTGTAACGGTCTGTATCTTCCCTATTTAGAGGTCTACTAATGATGATATCTCCTGTGCTGGGGTTGATTGTAAATGGAAGACTTGTGTCTGTTATAGAATATCTGCTAATTGCATTTGCACCTATGTCTTCATCAGAAGTAGTGACACGCGTAACAATGTATCCTAAAGGGGAGTTTTCTGGAACGTGGGCACTAAATATTTGAGAAAATCGAGGGGCATTATCATTTTCATCTAAGATGTTAATAATGACTTTTACTGAGGTACTTTGAGAAGGGGACCCTTTGTCTGAAGATCTTACAGTAAGCATATAATGAGATACTTTTTCTCTGTCTAATGGCCTAATGCTTCTAATTTCACCAGTGGCATGATTGATATTGAAACTATTTTCTTTGTTGCCATTAACTATTTCATAATCCAGTTGTCCATTTGGTCCACTGTCCTTGTCCATTGCAGAAACAGTAAGTATTTTCCTAGGAGAAAGGTTTTCTAATATTTCTGATACAAATGGATCTTCTTTAAAAACTGGGGAATTGTCATTGACATCTAATACTGTTATGTCAAGTTTCTCATAAGAAGAGAAAGGAGGGAAGCCTCCATCTCTGGCCTCTATCCACACAACATACTTTTGTATCTTTTCAAAATCTAAAGGTTGGTTAATAGACACCTGTCCTGTTAGCTGATCCATTTGAAAAGTATTGCCAAGATTTCCACTTGCAATATAATAGGACAAAGTTTCTCCTCTCAAAGAGGATCCTGTGATGGTGGTGACAAGAGTGCCTACTGGTTGGTTTTCAGGAAACATGAATGTTTGTTCTTTCGCTCTGACTTTAGGAAAATCTGCCTTGTTTACAAATCTCACAGTTACTGTTGTAGAATCTGTTTTTGGAATTGAACCACCATCTTTCACGTGGACAGAAAATGTCACTTCTGAAGCTCCACTGAGTGGCCCGGCTGCCATGATTGCTCCCCTCACTGGATCAATGTGAAACTTTTCAGAGTTTCTACCCGAAAGAGAATAATGCAGTTCAGAATTGGGTCCAATGTCAGCATCTGTCACTGTAACCGCAAAGACAAAGGAACCTAAAAAAGAGGGAATTTACAGTTATAATCACATAGAAACTAAGCAAAAATTTGTAGTAGGTTAGTGTATTTTAAAATCTATATTGCTGCATGATCTGACTTTTTCTCATGATTATTGGAGAGAACAGTATCTTCTACATTTTCACTGTTTACCAATCAATATGTTAAATGATAATCTTCACAGATTGATGTTTTATTTGCTCACTAAAACCCATGCAGTCTACAGGATTTAATATTTTTTAGTATGCCTTTGAGAGAAGCACAGTGAAGGCAACTGCCTTATCATTCAGAATCATAGCTCCCAGGAGAAAAATCTGAACATAACATATTCCAATAGGCATGATAATATACAAGCTTTGTAAAGAGCTGTGCTTCTGCCAGCAAAAAGATATCATCGCTCTATTATAATTTAAAATACCTTTGAATTAGTATATAACCAGTCAGGGCAACAAAAACATTTCTAAAAGTTACTGTATCATGATAACTAGTATTTCAGAGCAAAAGTCTTTTACTGTTGACCTACGATTACATAGAGAGAAAGTATCTGTGTGCATATATGGCATATATGTATAACTATATGTGTGAGTGCACATAACTAAATTTAAATAACTATAAATTAGTAAGAAATAAGAATCAAGGAAGGATGGACCTAATTTGGATTCCAAAAGTGAGTGCTTTGAATGAGTGCCAGTGCAACAGATTGTAGTCTAAATATGTAGAAAAGCTTCCATAAGGACATTTTTTTTCAATAATCTCATTCAGAAACACTTCCAAACATCCGTAGAGTGTGTGACAAAAATGTAAAGACTTTGATTTTAAAAATGCAGTAAATTTCATAATTATAAAAAGTCTAATGAGGAAAAGAGGCCTAAACACACCTCCACACCTCGTTTGCAGAGGAGATGCTATAAGCACCACCATGCCCTGTGATTAAAATCAGGACTGGAGGTGCAGGTTCAGCTAGAGACTTTCATCAGGGATTTTTTTTTTATTTTCGTATTTGCATTTCTTTGGATAGAAAGTTGGCATGTACACTTATGGATTTTCTACTTCCGATTGGTATCAGATAGATGTTCTCAAGTTGATAAAAGATTACTAAGAGGAGGAATGTTGGATTGATTTATTTTTTTCTAATTGAAAATATTACAAATGAAAAAGACTAAATCAATCATATTTTCCTGCTTGAAAATTCATTTAAACTTCACAAACGGCACGTTTGTGCAGTTGTTAAGATAGTATGTCAGTTTTTGCAAA